CACCCATCGAATAGACCATAAGGACCTCACGATGTAGATGACGGCTGAGACCATCCTCATCCCAGCATAAGTGGCAATCGAGATTACCAAGCACCAAGTTCGAACATATAGTGGTCCACAAACATTTGACTCATAGACATTCGCCTCCACCCTGCGGGGGGGAGAAGAATTTTGTGCGGTGCGAGCTCAAGACTGGTCGAGGTGACAAGTCGATGGTTTGACAGGTTTCTTGATCTATTCCTCCTACAAGATTCTTGCTGGTAAGAAACGTTCTTCTTCTTCTCCTCTTCCTCTTCCTCCACCCCTCGGCTTCTCCTCCCTCCCCCTGACACGCTATGCTAGGAGGAGGAGACGACGACGACGACGAGGATTTGAGCAACAACTCAGTGGTGAGAAGGAAGAAGAAGGAGAGGATGGAGAAGGAGAGGATGGAGGAGGAGGAGGAGGAGGAGAGGAGAAGCGAGGGAGGGAGGGAGGGAGAAGGAGAAGGGATTCCGCCAGGAGCACTCACGTTGAGCAGGTCAAGTTCTCGAGCAAACTCCTCCAGTCGACCAAGGAGTACGATGGTGGAAACTTCTTCACGCAGGTAGAGAACGAGGGAGCGAGGGAGGAGGAGGGGAAGGAGTAGACTGGAGCTGACTTGTCCAACAGGTGGATGGGGTGAAGAGGGCAACTCCGCTCCTGCTCGTTCTCTTCTGCGTGGAGTTTTCTGACATTCTCTTTGCGGTGAGTGTGTCCTCCTGCTCCTGCTCCTGCTCCTGCTCCTGCTCCTGCTCCTGCTCCTGCTCCTGCGCTTTGTTATCCTGCTCTGCGTCGTTGTCCTCCTCCTCTTCCTGAGCTGCTTCGTCCTTCTCCTCCTGCTCCTCCTGCTCCTCCCCGTGATCTTCTTCCTTGACTGAATTTCGTCCTTCAGGTCGACTCAATCCCTGCTGTCTTCGGAGTTACTGAGGTTGTGCTCCTCCTTGCCCCTGCTCGTCTTGCGTCCTCTCCTCTCAACCTCCTCCCCTCTCACCCTTCTTCCATCCTCTTCTTCCATCCTCCTCGTCCTCTTCCCCCTCCCCCTCCTCGTCCTCTCCTCCTCTTGATCCTCTCTCGTCTGATCCTCCCCCTCGTCCATCTCCACGTTCACCTCCTCCTCCTCATTGTCTTGCGAGTCTTTCTCACTTTGTCTCAGGATCCTTTCGTTGTCTTCACCTCCAACATCTTCGCTATTCTCGGCCTCAGGTCAGTCGAAAGAGGAAACGTGAAGACGAGGAGGAAGGGGATCAGGAGGCGAGCGACGAGGAACAAGGAAGGGGGAGGAGCAGGAGCAGGAGCAGGAGCAGGAGCAGGAGCAGGAGCAGGAGCAGGAGCAGGAGCAGGAGCAGCAGGAGCAGCAGGAGCAGGAGCAGGAGCAGGGGGAGGAGCAGGAGGAGCAGGAATGGGATCAGGTGATGTTGGTGGAGGAGGAGCTGACAATGGCTGAAGGTCACTTTATCTCGTAATCTCGAAGCTCGTGCAAGAGCTCGAGTACCTCGAGCCAGCCGTCGGACTGGTAGGAAGGAGGAGGGGAGGGGAGGAGGAGCAGCACGAGGAGAGGAAGAGGAGGAGGAAGAGAAGTAGCAGGAGGTGGAGAGGACAGGAGGAGAAGGGGAGGGGGAGGGGGAGGAGGAGGAGGAGGAGGAGGAGGGAGCAGGTGCTAATGTTCGAGCAGGTTCTTGGATTTGTGGGTCTCAAGATGATCGGAGAATTCATGGGGATGGATACCCCTGAAGAAATGTAAGAGAACCCCTATCTCCCTCCCTGCTCCCTGCTCCCGCTCCAGCCCCCGCTCCCTCCCCTGCCCCTGCCCCTGCCCCTGCCCCTGCCCCTGCTCTCCACACCTTGTTTTTCCCCATTCTTTCCCTTCCTCCACTATCTCATGCTCTTTCTTGTTCGCCCCGTCTCCTCACTGCCTGCAGCTCTCTTGGCGTCGTCGTGTCCATGCTCTCTGCTGGAGTCGCCGCCTCCTACTGGAAGAACTCGCAGAAGGGTAGGAGGAGAGGGCGGGAAGCAGGAGCTGAGATGACTGCAGACGGCGACGAGGAGGACCAGGTGGAGGAGAAGCAGCCAGTGGTGAGATCGGAGGAGAAGGGAGGAGGGAGGAGGGAGGGGAGCGGGAAGGTGGAGGAGGAGAATGAAGGAGGGGGAGGAGGAGGGGGGGGGGGGAGGGGAGTCTCTGTCTCTGACTTTATGGTCAGGCGAGCCAAGACAAGGAGTTGGTTAAGAAGGAATGAAAACTCCCACTGGGCTGCACGTGAACTCTTGGAAGGCTTAAATGACGGAGAAGCCAGCTGGGACGAGCTGAACATTAACCGGAGCTGACCTGGAGTGCGGGAGGATGAGGAAGAGAAGATGACCACTTGGTTTGATTGTTTCTTTGGCGTGTAAAATTGAGAAGCTGAGAAATTACTTGGGAACCTGTCG